CAAGAGCAAGGTGGAGCTCAATGTCGCGTTCCTGCGTCAGTGTGGGTTCGGCGATCGCGATATGGCCAAGTTGTGCAGCTCGATACCGAGGATGGTCACCACCGACCTGGAGTGTGTTCAGAGAATGGTGGCATTGACCGAATCTCTCGGTGTGCCCCGGGGATCCGGAATGTTCAGGCATGCTCTCAGTGCTGTCGCATTCCGCGACAAGAAGCAGATCGCAGCCAAAGTGGATCACCTGAAGAAGACGTTAGGGTGGTCGGATGCCGAGGTGAGCACTGCTCTGCCTAAGGCCCTGTTTTTGCTCGCCAAGTCGAACGAATCACTGCAGCACAGCTCCGAGTTCCTCATGTCTGAGGTGGGATTGGAACCGGCGTACATTGCTCATCGGCCAGTAATTCTCTGTTACAGCCTAGAGGGCCGGATGAGACCTCGGTACTACGTTGTAAAGTTTCTCAAGGAAAATGGATTGCTCAAGCACGACCCGAGCTACTATACTGTTTTCAAGGAGACCGAGAAGTATTTCGTGGGGAAGTTCATATACCCTCACAAGGAAGCTGCACCACACCTTGCTGAAGATTATGCTGCAGCTTGCGGAGGGGAAGTGCCCGCTAGATTCAGATTTACATGAACCGAAGAATTCTGAGCAATATGTGTAGAATCACGATGCAGTTCTGAAGCCAACTATGTTTTGGTCATTATTTTGTAATGGAGAAGAACATACATGTTTTCTGAAGATTTATGTGGCTTTCTAAAATCTATCCTTTTATTATGTATTATTTCTCCTTTGTGCCATGCTAATCAGAAGATTACTTATATGTTGAGCTTTTACTTCATAATCTTCATGGGAAGTTCAGTGCTTCATAAATATTTTTTATTGCCATTTTTTGAATTTCAGTTCACGTCATGGTTATCTTGACTTTCAGGATTGTTGGTTGCAGCATCAGAGAAAGGTAGGTCACAAGCTGTAGGTGCATGGCAACTTCAATGGTTAGAGACCCCAGATCTGGGAGAGGCAGTGCTGATTGAGGGGGGCAGCTGGAAGACGTCATGCTTAAGCTTTGGTATGAGATATATGTGATTTTGTCAAGCCGGTCTTCCAAAACTGAAAGGAGTTTTCTGTCTATGAAGCAGGCGTCTTGGGATGATTATCGGATTCCATTCAATTACTTTTAGATGATGCCCATCATCTTTTTGTGCAGTTCATGTTGGCAACCTTGCTAGAGGATACTGTCCGTGCAATGATATAAGCTTGCTAAAGGAAACCCATGTGAGGTACTTCATAATCTAGAGACCTTTACTTTCTCCTTCTTTTTCATCACTAACACATGTTCCTCTCACAAAAAATGGGTACTCGCATTTACCAAAACAAACTGTGAGCTGCATTGGCTTCAGTGGCACGCATCACTGGAATTCATTGGCGCCCTCACTTCCTTTCGTGAATTCGGCGGTCTGTTGAGTTGGTGATTAGTTCACTTGGTCTAATCATGTCAGTACAGAACTAAATATCTGTTGAAAACTTGCCCGCTATCTGATAGAACTCCCTCCAATGTTATGTAGAAGGTAAACCTTGATAGCTGGGCAGGTAAAGAAACTGAGGTGGCATGTCAATTTTTTCCCCATCATGCTCTAATTGGTTCGCATGACCTGTCAGCTATCCTGTGTAGAAATGCATGTTCTTTCAGCATTGCTAAACCTGCACAGAACTTAATTTGCTACAGTACGCCCCACTCCATGATGTAGCTTGTGATCTTGATCTGAATGAACTATAGTATGTTCTACTACAGTAGTATGTTCATTGTAGTTAGTTTGTAGCTTGTGATCTTGATGTGAATGAGCTATAGTATGTTCCACTACAGTAGTATGTTCATTGCAGTTAGTTTTTACTGGATCTATCAGGGATGTTATGTAACTCAGAAGATGTTGCCTACTGTTTGCAAATTGTAAAATTATTTCATGGCGTCGACTTATGTTTGCTCCTTGCACTCATCATCTCTATGGTTGTTGTTTCAGGTTGGAGCATGGAGTGCATAGCCTTGCTCGCGTCTGCTTAGGCCCTATAAGCCGGTTCCGTGGGTATTAGATGCCCTGAGAGTGGATGCAGGACACTTGATTCGTCTGTCTGGTAAATTCAGTTCTCTAGCACATGACAGACAGGCATATCAATCATTTGGACACACATAATGCTATATATGTTGTTAGAACTTAGCCCCTGTATGGAATGCATGAGGTAGGAAAGCACCTATGTAGAACAATATTGCCCTGTTGTGCAATTAGGGCTCAAATCTGCAGCACACTGATTATCATATTGGTTCTAGACTTCATCTTATAGTAAGTATTCAAGTAACCAGAACATTTGCAGCTGTTTGACTGAAACAAATGGCATTAAGTAATATAGGATGGTTCTAGCCTGCCAGGCATATAAACATTGGCCAAAGATACTAGATTGTTCTATATGTGGCAGATGGATTTTGAGTAGGATAGAATATTCTGGGTTGATACTGGCCAAGTGTAGTCCAGATCCGTTCATTGGCAAAAGTTGCTGCTACTAGGCTACTAATAATATTCCCTTTATATAAATAAACTTGCTGAACCCTGAAACTGAAAGATGTCCTTTACTTAACTGCTAGAACATGTGTATTGTCTCCGTCAGAATTATTATGCTCTTAAATTAGGCAAGGATATTGATCTGCAAATTTGGGGCAGAAAGTGTTTATTTTCCTAGGTAGCAGTTCACAGTTGGTCTGTACATTCACTGAATAAGTAGCTCTGTAACTTGAACATGAGGCAGCCTGATATTCACCACTGATTGTATTGAACAAGATGGCATTCTGTACTTGGTCAATTATGCGGATCAAAATCCAGCTGGTGAAATTAGCAAAAGAGTGCCATGGTGTATTATTATTCTTTGGAGATGAATCCCTTCTTGATTTTCTGTTTTGTTTTCTTATTTGTCTTTGTTGATGTGATTTTTTTCACTTTCTTGGTTGATGTGATTTTTTTTCATTATCTTTGTTACAAGACAGTAACATTGGAAAACAGTCTGTATAGCTTATATTGGTCGGTACACTCGGTTTGTGTTAAGCAAGAATTAAGTTTGGTGATCGGACCTCACCATTTGTCCAATTAGGCCAGTCTGTCAGTTCTAGCGTGACAGTGCTCGTGTTGGTGTGTATGTTAGATTTGAATCGTTCAACTCCTCCCTCCTTCTGTATATGTGCTTCCACACTCTGAAATACACGCACACAACACTAGTACTGAACCTTAGTCGAATAACTGGCTGTAGGTGTGTGCCAACTTCAAAGTGTAGAGACCCCAAGCAGATGAGGCATGGCTTATTGAGAGGGGGCAGCTGGAAGAGTTGGCGACCCAACGACCTGGAACATCAACACTTCAAACTTTTCATAGGAGGTATATGTGATTTTGTCAAGCCATTCTCCCAAAATGTCTATGAAGCAGGCGACTTGTGATGATCTGTGGATGCCGTTCAATTGCTTTAAAACCACGCCCATTATCTTTTTGTGCAGTTCATGTTAGCACCCTTGCTATTGTGCTTGCATATTGAGGATACTGCCTGTGTGATGATATAGGCTTGCTAAAGGAAACCCATGTCAGACTTCATAATCTAGAGACTCGTACATTCCTGTCTAGCCTTAGACATATGTTCCACTGTCACAAAAAATGGCGCTGACATTTCTAAAACAAACTGTGAGCTGCATTAGCTTCAGTCGCACTCATCACTGAATTCATCGGAGCCCCCACTTCCTTCCATGATTTTGCGGTCTGTTGAATTGGTGATTAGTTCACTTGGACTAATCATGATAGTACAGAACTAAATATCTGTAGAAAACATGCCCAGTATCTCAAAGAACTTCCTCCAATGTTATGGAGGTAAACCTTGATAGCCGTGCAGGTAAATAAACTGAGGTGGCGTGTGGATTTTTCCCCATCACACTCTAATTCGTTGGTATGACCTGTCAGCTATCCTATGTAGAATATGCATGTTCTTTCAGCATTGCTAAACCTGCATCGAACTAAATTGGCTACAATATGTCCCACTCCATGATGCTGCTTGTGATCTTGATGTGAACGAGCTACACTATGTCCCACTCCATGATGCTGCTTGCGATCTTGATGTGAACGAGCTACAGTATGTCCCACTATAGTAGTATGTTACTAGATCTATCAGGGATGTTATGTAACTCAAGAAGGTGTTGCTTATCCTTTGCAAGTTCTTAAATTATTTCGCGGCGCTGGCTTTTGTTTGCTCCTTCTGCTCATCATCTATATTGTTTGTTGTGTCAGGTTTGAGCATGCAGTGTACAGCCTTGCTCGTGTGTGAGATGACTCTATAAGCCGGTACCGCTGGTATCAGTTCCCCTGAGAGGGGATACATGACTGGATTCGTAAGTCGTTCTCTAGCACGAGACAGACAGAGAGACATGCCATATCAATCATTTGGACACACATAATGCTACATATGTTGTTAGAACTTAGCCCCTGTATGGAAGGCGCCTATCTAGAACAATATTGCTCTCATGCTCCGTTCTGCATTTAGGGCTCAAATCTGCAACACTCTGATCATCATATTGGCCCTGGACCTTTTCTTTTAGTAAGTATTACTGTATTAGAGTAACCAGAATATTTAGAGCGCTTTGAAGGAAACAAATGGCATCAAGGCATTTAGGATGATTCTAGCCTGGCCAACATCTAAATATAGGTCCTAGATACTAGATTGTTATATATGTAGCAGATGAATTTTGAGTAGGATAGGATATTCTGAGTTGACTGATACTCTTTGACGTATTTAGATTTGAAAGACATTCTTTGTCGTTGTAAGTAAAAAAGATATCACATTGGACTTAAAATGTACTCCCTCCGTTTGTTTTTATAAGACGTTCAGACAACTTGCTTTGTGCTGTTTTTGAACAGTGTCTGAAAGTCTAAAACGTCTTATAAAAACAAACAGAGGTAGTATACGGTAACATAATTTTGTTGGTCAGGTAGGGTTAAAAATGTTGAACAGATTACCACCTCCAATTATGCCATACAGCATAGAGGTAAGCAGCTGTTGGAGGTCATTGGCCTGTACAGTATGTGGATGGGCACATGGCATCTAATAGTAGTTGCACTGTCCTATAGTTGAACTAGTAAACATTTGATCTTAGCTGGCATATGGGTGAGTACTAGTACAATGCATGCATGCTAGGCTCTGACCGTCTTGATCATGGATGATCTCTATACAAGAATAAAGGGTAACGCGGTGCATGTGGTAACAACTGTTAACACTTACAAATATTCAGCAAGTGGATGAAAACCAAACCGACCGGGCTAGAAGTCAACTGCTAACTCCATAAATACCACTAGTGCGGCAATGGCCAACATACTCCAGCAGGTGTGAGAAGCAGAATTAGCGGCAGGCAACAAAAGCTCTCATCAACTCCAGTAGAAGAAAGCCGTGCTGGAAATATGACGATGGAGGCCACTCCTCTCCTGACTCCATACAAGATGGGCAAATTCAACCTCGCGCACAGGTCAGTCAAGTAGCTACTGCTACCGGCAACCGATGGAGTTCTCACGGTCTTCGTCATTCCTAAACTTAATTTTGTGGATGATGCATATGTATGGCAGGGTTGTTCTTGCTCCTGTGACGCGGTGCAGGTCGTATGGGAACATGGCCCAGCCGCACAATGCGCTGTACTACGCGCAGAGGGCGGCGCCGGGCGTCGTCCTCATCGCAGAGGCCAGCGCGGTGTCGAAGATGGCACCAAGGTACCCGCCCGTGCCCGGCCTGTGGAGCCAGGAGCAGGTGGAGGCCTGGAAGGCTGTAGTCGATGCCGTGCACGCCAAGGGCGCCCTCTTCTTCTGCCAGATTTGGCATACAGGCAGCGTCTCGCCCACTGGTGCGTTCCCCTCCCTCAAGTTTCTTTTTCGTTTCTGGTGTAGGAGTAGTAGTTAGCCAGCCTATACTCAACATTTTGGATTCCATTCTTGTGTTGCAGGGTTGGACGCCCCTCAGGGTTGGAAGCACAGGAGATACCCCGAATGGTGAATGACTTCCGCACTGCTGCAAGAAATGCCATCAAAGCCGGTAATTCTTAGTTTCTTACTGAGTTGCTCCTCACCGTTAACATTCATCAGCCACTATGCATGTACCCAAGTAAAGAAACCCATCACCTTGGTAAATTAATTACCCATGCTAATAATATTGGTGATGCATCTCCTTGGTAAATTAATTACAGGTTTCGACGGTGTGGAGATTCATGCCACCAATGGGTTGCTGATCAACCAGTTCTGGTGGTTCATAGATAACGAAAGGTCCAACTCTCAGCCTCTACAACGCCGTGACCAGCTCATCAAGGCCATCGCCGGTTTGCCACCGAGACCATCACCGCCGTTGCTGACGAGGTGGGTGCGCACCGCCATGGCGTGCGCCTCTCCCCAGTAGCCGACTACGACTCGGACCCGGAGGCGCTCCCACTGCACGTGGTCCGCCTCATGAACGAGCTCGGCGTCCTCTACTGCCACATGGTGGAGCCGAGGAACGGGACCCTGTGCAGCCTTCTGCCTTTCAGGAAGGCGTTCAAAGGTACATTCATCGTGAACGGGGGTTACGACAGGGAGGGAGGAGATGTGGCTGTCGGCGATGGCTATGCCGATCTGGTCTCGTACGGGCGGCTCTTCCTGGCGAACCCCGACCTGCCGGAGCGGTTCAGGAAGAGGGCGGGCCTGAACGAGTATGACCGGAGCACGTTCTACACCTCCGATCCGGTGGTCGGCTACACGGACTACCCTTTCCTTGCTCAGGGGCAGGGGACACGAGTTAGCTAATTGACCTCCGATCCCGCCGGCCACACTTGTTCAAGGGTGTCAGTTGTTCTTGATTCAGATCATCAGGCGAGTCGAGATCAACTAGCTTGACGGTGTGCAGATTGCGCGACTAGATTTGTCGTAGCCGTCTTTTGTTATTTGAGTGCCAATGGTTGCTCGGCGAGTTACTTGTTTCTCAGGTTATTGTTTTCAGTGCTGGCTAAACGTAATCCTGTGAAAAAAACACTCCAAGTTGTCTAGACTTGATACTTCTGTGCAACTCTCTGGTTTAACTCAATAGAGTTCCAGTAGTACGAAGTGCTGATGATCTCTTTTCAGAGCAAGGCTACTTATCAGCTGAGTACAAGTAGTGGAGATTGGTTCGCTTGCTTGTGTTATTCAAGATTCAACAACAATTCGGTTGAATTAACCGTCGGCTTCGAAAGTTCGACCCAACTGATTGTTTGAAAGTAATATGCTTCAAAATCGCCATTCGACACAAATATGGTAAGTGCCTAATCAAGTATCATCGTGTTTCATGCTTGAAATGCAGGACAACTCTTTTTCGGTAAAAGCAGGATGATTGATTCAAATATTCCTACCACATCAAAGCCACATAAAACACAGGTACACATCCTTAAAGCAAAAAAGTTCAGTATGTGTTATAGAATTTCTAAATTTGTTGTCATCTGCTAATATCAGTATATATGTCAGCAATATTTGGTACTGCGTATATGTCAGCAAACAAGGTGATGTGATGTTTGATGGTAGTTGGTCAGTTTAGTTACAGGAGGCAATGTAGCCCAACAAAATTGCTAGTGTGCAAGTGTGTTTCTTCAATAATTAAGGCCAGTAAAAAGGCCCGTGCATTGCAATAGGATAGAATTTACATACTTCCCTAGCATAGACTAAAATACAAGAGAAGAGAGAAAATTTCTTATTTGGCCCTTTCTTAAAATCTGCTTCCCTATTTAGCCCTAAATAATTTCTTTTTCCCTTGACGACACTGCATCTTCATTTTGTTCCCTATTTGACTTTACGCTTCGGTCTGTCCTGCCCACTAATGGTGTCACATGAGACATGAAAAGACACTTTTGCCCCTCATGAAGATAGCTCATGTATACGTGCAGTTCTCTGATGTACTTATAATATTTCAATTAAGCTTGTGTATGATGGTTTAGTAAAGGTGGTTAGCACTAACAAGGAATGTGGGGTCTCGGGTCAAAGTCTACCGAATGCGACGAGAGCAGGCCGTACCGATACAAGTGGGCGCATGTGAGGAGCTTTGGCGACCACCCCCTGCTTATGAGCTCCGCGTGCTCTATGGCGGTTCATATGCCAGCTTCTAGTGGGCATCGCGCTGGGGTGGACATGAACTACATCTACTACCCCGAGCAATATTCGTCGTCCTTCGAAGGTGATCCATGTACTCCTGGGCAACAAGTACATGCATCACATGGGATGGATTATGTCATGGGTGTACCGTTACTGTGATGAGGGCGGCGGTAATGGTCGCATGTGGTTTCTGCCTCTGGACTTTTAGTTTCTCAAGGTCGATGCACATAGCCGAATTCTGTCCATGTTTAGTTAATTTTGCTAGATGGTTCGTGTTTATTAGTTCATAGTACCAGCATCATCGAAGGAAATTAGGAGACATTAAATTTGGCATGGAGACCATATCATAGTGAATTTGTGCGTGTTCACCATCAAACGCTGTGTGTTTGTTTCTGAACGTATTTTTTAAATTATGCGTAATTTATACCCATCAAACGTAGAGGCATATGGCATTTATATGTAATTTTAAAGAGATTATCAGGCAAACCACACACATACCAATTACCAAGGTTTATCAGCCATTCTGCAGTAGGAAACAGTACAAACCAAACTAGTAGTTAGCACTCAAAGTCTTCTCAGGTGCTGTAATGCAAAGCAAAACAAAACAAAACAAAACAAAAGAGGAGTCCAGGCAAACCACATCTCAGCTGAACGTCCAAGAGAAACTACTACAGCATCAGCGATTCAGGCAAGCTTTTAGGGCTTCAACCCTATTATAGCACGCTGTTTGTATATAGTCCATATTGAAATATTCAAAACATGTTATGTTAGCGAATGGAGGGAGTAATATTTACAACCTAAGCAGAGTAAATATTCTAACCTGAGGAGGCTTAGTCTTAACCAGCCATATTATTTGAACTAGATGGTAGGCCATATACGAAAACTGTACAACTGTACTGTTTAGTTTTGGGATAAGTAGTCCCTAGAACTTAAGGTGTCAGTAAATAGGCCATTCAAAAATACAGGAGAAAAATGAAAAGAAAAAACTGATTCAAAGTAGTAAAAGCATGAAGTCTTTCACAACATTTATTCTCTTCAAACAAAAATATTGCAGAAAGAAGGAACATTTTTAGCTCACGGAAACCAGAGCAAGCAACAACAAACTAGATCAGAACTGCATCCTTGGATTGAACAACGTATCATGGCCATCAACAAGTCCAAAATTGTATCCAAAAAGAGAAATGATATTCAGTGGACTCATAATCTAATTACTAACCTTATTAAGTGTTAGCAGTTAGCGACGAGCAAACAAGCATGCAACAGACACTATACCAGACAACCAACATCTTGTTAGCGGACTTGAAGTAAGCATTTAAATTTGTTAATTGTCTTCAGAAAAGTTACATCGGAACCAGGATTTCAGTAGGCCCTGCATGATATAATAGTGTTGAAGCCCCTAAAAGCTTGCGAACTTACGGTGCCAACTCACATACCTTGTAAATCACAACATTTACATTTGCATTCCCTCTCTTTAACAACCTCCAACCAAACAAGCTAGAGAGGAAAGTGCCAAATCTTTTTAACTTGTTAAGAAATTATTGGTCTGCGAGCATTGATGAAACACAGACGATGGTGCAGCTCTATAAATTACAAACGATGGAGTTGGTTTGAGAAGAGAAAATGTATGAGATTCTTTTCTGGGTGATGCACCATCCATGGCAAGCATGAACTGAATTGAACCCGATCAACATAGCCAGCTCAGTAACCATGCTCTAGCATTGCCTTTTGATCTCTCCATGCATGTTGAAGCTAGCTAACTACGTAGGATTGAAAGGCAACCGGGAGCAAAATCACACTCTCTTTGAAGGAATAACCTCATTCACTAGATAGCTAATCAGCTTGGTGGTGAGAGGAAGTTATGTCGGCTAGTCCATTCCATCATTTGGCTGTAGACACCCGCATCCTTTCTTTACAAGTACCACTGCTTCTCACGCCAACCAACACCAGATGTCTCTGGAAACCTCGTCTAGGTGATCCGCAGCTAGCTCATGACCAACCAACCTAACAAGGGCCCTCGATGAAGGGACAACAGTTTTACCCATGAGTATGGGTACGCGGGGGTACCCTACTCGGAAATAACAAGCATGGACAAAACTTGGAGAGATCTTGTACCCATGTATAATGGGTATCTATATCTGCAAAATATATGGGTAGGCCATGGGTATGAAATTATGTTCACTAGTCATCAACCCGTGCAACTACACGGGCTAGAATCTCAAACATGCATGAATGGAAAAATATTTGAATTACATCCATTATACACTAATGTTTTAGAATTCAAAAAATACTGAAACGTAGAAATGTAGTTTAACATACTGCCGTCAACCATTTGCATTAATATTTGTCATATGGAAAAGGAAGACTTTACTCCTTGGGTTTAATACCTAGTGTGACTTTCCTTGTAAGTTTAGATAACATCAACTATAGATCATATTAATAGGTGGTGTAAATGGGGACATCAGCAAAGTGCTAAACTATTGATAGATGTAAATTACTTAATTCATTTTTGGCGGTTTTGTTATCAAGTGAAGGGTTTGTAGACTATAGGGTAGGGATTTATGGATAGTGTGTTACTTGGAATAATGTGTTACCTAAATTCTATGGTGTAGAAATGATTGCCTAGAAATGGAAAATAACAAAAAAATGTGCATAAACATGATCAATGGATTGCAAACTAACTTGTTCCATGACTGAAAACAAAATCTTGAATTTTAAGGAGTTTTCATGGGAAAATATGTGTACATGATTTAAGTAATATCCGGAAGGCATGTACACATGCTCCCTTCCATCAATGGGATAGCTTCTTGCGACCATTTGGATGCTGCTAGCAGCATAGCACCCCTGAAAGTGTTATGTATAACCTGGAAATTCACATATCGTGCAGTAAGGGATATACATTGGACGTGGGTGTTGAGGACTCATTTTTTGTACATGTAGGTCTTGGACGTGGGTGTTTTTTTAGATGAAAGCTCTTGGGTGTGGCTGTTGAGAACTCCTTTTTTTTTTCTTGATTAATGACTGGACATGGTTGTCGAGGTTTCTTTTTTCTTTTTATACGTGATGGATGTTATTTTTCTGCAACACGGACGTTGGTGCTGAGGACTCTTTTTTTTAGGGTGAGGACTAATGTTTTGAACGTGTAGGTCTTGTGCATGTTTTTCTTTTGAGATGGAAGGTCTTGTGTGTGGTTGTTGAGAATTCCTTTTTGTACGTGTTGGTCTGTTCTTTTTAATGTACGTAGTGTTTTTCTCTAGAAATAAATAAGAAATGGTGTTTTAAAATACCACAACCATTAGATTTTACATCTAATGGCTAAATTAATCGTGCTGATGTGGATTAACATAGAGCCTGGCATGGTGCCTCCAATTAGTAAATATAAATATAAGATAAGATGAATAACCCAATGGATACCTAGAAAAAAATTAAATGAAAATAACTCCTATGATATATGCGATCAACTTCCAACTCCTATGGTGCACCTGCCACCCTAAATCTCGTATTCCTTAGACTAGCCCTAGCTTATAGGCCCGTAATCAGCTTCTCGCCATTCCTCCTATGTTCTATGTGACTCCTCGAAAAAATGGATTCTCGACTCTTCAATACCGGACTCCTATCCAACTCTCGAACCAGCGGTCCCCCATTCCCACCACCGCCTCCCATTGTGCTAGGCTTCCGCCAACCATTGA